TACCGTATAGATTCTGATTAGTAGACTGGCTTATGAGTTATGGCTTTATGCACATTTTTGGCCCAAGAAATCAAGAATGTTAAGCTCAGACTCACAAGCATGTATGTGCACCATACACTGGTAGTTGTTCTCAGTGTCCTTAATAACTGATAGTAACAGACAGTAAAATACACAATAAAATAAGAATTATAAAATATATTTTATAACTTAGACTGGTTTCAAAAGTTTTACAAAATGTGCCTGCAAGAAAGTTGTTTCTGAAATGTGCCTACCACCGTCAGTCCCAACGGTCCCATTTTAATTAATGGCCCCTGCATATAGGACTTGCCCTGACAAAAACAATTCCATACCCCGCCTATTCTCCAAGACTAACCCTCTGTCCCCTCTTACCATCCTATTCACCTATTAATCTCTCCACCAATTCCAGGTAGAATTCATTTCTCTTTGGCCTATGACTTCACCGAGAATACATTATCAGTTGGCATTATTGAAGCAGAGAATGTGCCAGCCAAAGATTTTGGTGGTTATTCCGACCCATACGTACGCATCATGCTTCTTCCCGACAAACGGAAAAAATTTGAAACAAAGGTCCAGAAACGAACGCTCGACCCGGTGTACAACGAGACATTCCATTTCAAGAACTTACCCTATAGCGATATTGGGAATAGAATTCTAGCTATGGAGGTGTACGATTTTGATAGGTTTTCAGGACATGATATCATTGGCATAGCGAAGCTGCCGCTGATTGACGTCGACCTGGCGAAACCCATGGAAGATTGGCGGATACTGACTCCGCCCTCCAGCACAGGGTGGCGAACGGTAAGAGAAGGATGAGCAGAATTATGACAATTTCACCGACAGCTCTTAGCCAATCAAAACTCTTGAATTATTTTCAATAAAAATTTTTTTATCCTGTCTTGCAGAAAGTGACGCCAGAACTTGGTGAGATATGCTTTGCGGTACGATATGTACCAGCCAATGGTAAACTACAGATAACAGTTCTCGAAGGAAAGAATTTGAAAAGTACTGACGAAGGTGGATATTCAGGTAAGCTCCACAAAAAGCAGACGTGCACCACAATGTCCCCTACCTACGTTACTACTTCTATTTAATTCCACTAAGGGGTCACGTCCATACTCCTGTTGCCACGCAAAGCGTCAATTTTTTTTCCAGTGGAAAGTAATTATTAAAAATCTGGTAATGACACGCTTGACGTTTTCACTAGTGGGTGGGTGGGTCAGTACCAAAACGTCAATTTGACGTTTTGTGTGACAACATGGATATGGCCCCTAATTTAGTACTTTATTTTTCCAAAGTCCATACAATGATAGGCTCGATTACCAGCTGGCATTCGGGGAAGCCCCCTTTAAAGATGCGGTACAGTCCGATCTGCGCATGTGCACAAAGGAGCCCTCTTTTTATTTACGAACAGTTTATTTAGGTTTTTATTTCATTTTATGTTCTTGCAAAGCTTGATTGTTGTCTCTTCTTAATTTATTATACTCTAGAATCATGAAAATATAAATAGTTGTCGAATAAAATTCAATCTTTTAGATACCGAAATGTAAACAAAGCCTTTGTTTACATTTCAATCGAGCCGAATACAATGGGAGCTTTAATAGTTTAATTGCAAAGTGAATGTGAGTTTCACCACGGTGGTTTCACAAAGCGCTATCGTGCATCAAATGCTTGCCAACCAGCAGTAGTTATCCAAGAGCAAAAATAACGGTAATGCTTTTCAATATTTGTAGTCAATCTTGTATATTTTGGAAGCAAATACAGTAAATAGAATTGAAAAACGATGTACTTTCATTTGCTTCAAAAAAAATTTCAAGTAATTTTACTAGACTGTTCTCAACTAATATTCCGAATACAATATTACACCGAACACTCTAAAACTGGTTAATATTTTCTAAATTTACTGCATGTATTAATTTTGAAACAAAGTGACATTGTTGACACTTCCAAAAGAACAAAACAAACTCTATGTGGTACAAAACTTTCAAATTTACTAAGCTGTTTGCAGAATTGCAGTTATATTTCTGCACACAATACACACATACAAACCAAAATAATAACTTCTGAACATACCTTGTAAACCTAACACCACCACGGCAGTTTTTAATTTAATTTCAGCCAAAATTTGAAAATAAACTCTTTAAAAAATCCACGTGCATTCTTCAAACATGCCATATGTTTTTAAATTTGTTATGACAGCTACTGGTCTCGAAATGCGACTGGATTGAGCACTCATAAAATGCCCATGACTGGCCTCTAAGGGACGGACCATTAGAAAAGTGATGGGGAGGGTGGGGAAAAAACAGAAAAAAAATCCATGCAAACAAAAAAGGTTTGAAAAAAAATACATGCAAACAGACTTGTTTAAAAAATAAATTACAAACAGAACAACAATAGAACTTTAATTTTAAATGTACATCAGACAAAATTGAACTAAATCTTTGGAATATTTCAGAATATAAATATATCAAAATATATAATATATTAATATGCAATTTCTTTCAATATTAACAGTAACTCTTATGTAGTTTTATTATATACTATCAAAATATTTTCTATTGTATTTAATAATTAATTCTCATTCACACTGCCATTGTCCTCAGTGGCGTAACTACTATGGGCTCGGACTGGGAGAATCCGGGGGCCACCAACCCCAATGGGCCCGCAAATGGGGGCCCCAGGCTCAGGCTATAGAGCAAAAACATTGGCCAAGGGCCTCTGATATGTTACAATGGCGTTTTCTGACCATCAGAATTCTGTAAAATCTCTCCCCAAAGTCCGGGAAATGGTATTTCAGAGAATTTAGATTAAAAAATTTTCCGGGTGAGCATGCTCTGGACCCCTAGAAAACTTGTCCATATATGGTGCTTAAAGATATAATTTTGCAGTGTGTATTAAAGGGATATTTTTTTGTCAAGAGAACAGTTTCGTTAACATTTGTATAGTTGTATTGGAAAAAAAATTGCATGCGAGAAGACATATTTAAAAAAAAACATGCATACACAGCTGACAACCTGGAAAAAAAATGCAAACAAAAAAAATTTACCCCCCCCCATCACTTTTCTAATGGTCCGTCCCTTATGAAAAAACTTTGTGCGTGCGCACGCCCTATTGCAAACGCTCAAAATGGCAAAGTTGTCAATTTTTTTGTTTTCGCAGTTTTATTACGCCATTTTATTTTTACGTTTCGTGCGAGTGTGTATTGCGCAGTTCGGACGCTTCTAAACTGTCTATCTCCCTAACTATTTTCGCACGCGACGGACCATCTTATCCGCATGCAAACGCCCTGAAAAGGAATACCCCT